GTCAGAACTAACTGGTACAAGCAGCAAAAAGGAAGCAGCAGACGCGATTTTGCTGCTTTTGCTGCGTCCGGTCTGAACGTAGCATAAATCCAAGGATGAAGCTTTTCTTTAGGATTTTCAATTAGATCTTTTAGATTTCCGTCTTTCTGAAGGTAAAAAATCAAAATGAATAAAAATAAAGTTTCCTCTTCTCCAGCATCTCCTTTGCTGACCTTTGGAATCACTTTCTGCAGCACAGAGACTTTCAGACCTTCTATGGAGGAAGTACTTCCTTAATCCAGGCACATGGGTAAGTTTGTGTGTGGGAGGTTTAAACTACGGAACGCCTCTTGGACCCATGTTCCGTACTAGAAAGGTCGTCAGCAATTTAGAATCAAAGATGTCATTTCCTGGACATTTCTGATGGAGAAATTATTCAGTCTCCCACTTTTATCCTAATTAGAGAACGTTGAAGTGTTTGTTTCAGTTTTTGGTTAAATGTTTACTGTTAGGTCTGTGTTCTGTTGTGTGATTTAGATTAATTGATTATCAGCATTTATTAGAATTAAAATAATCAGTTATTCGAAACAAAATAATTCACATTTAATATATATTCAAAATACACAAGAGGATTTTTATCATTGAGATAAAAACAATTCAATTAAAAGTTAAGATCAGTAATTAACAATTATTTAATTAATTTACCAGCAATGTTTAGATGTTAAAACCTGCTATGGAATTGGGTTTGTTTAACTACTAGTAAATCTAAATAATTATAACTTATTACCAAACTATTAACTATATGAAATCATCCTGTGAAAACATACATCAAAAACAGGAAATCATTAAAGGAGTTGAGATGTAATCTGTTAATCCCAGAACGAATTATCACCTAAAAATATCCAACAAAAATAAATCCAGGATAATCCACAGTTATCAGCTCAATATTTGGTTCCTGTAAAAGTGACATAAAAATATATTTCTTTTATAGTTGATGCAACATTTCAGATGTTACTATTCTTGATTTATTAATGATCAACAACGTCAATCTGTCAAATGTTTTTAAGCCCGGCTGTTGTGTTCTCATCAACAAAATAGACGGGGAAACCAGCGTGCCGTTTGGGTAACTTTAATATTTACTTGAAAAGATTCATAACTGATACAGCTTTCATTCCTATAGCAATACATTGTATCACTACGTGCAGTGCGCGACTAATTACTGCCGTATTACTACACAGAAAATAGTTCCTTTTAAACACAACAACTCCTCCCTTCTAGCTTTGAAGTACACTAGAAAAGCTATAATCTATGCTACATATTCTTTTTCTGTGTTCCTTACTAGATAAAAACTAAAAGTTTCAAATTACAGTCTCTTTGGGATAACTCTAAATTAACACCATCAATTAACTCACTTATCCTTTAAATACTTAACCTAAGCTGTATCTTTTCAACTATCTAAACTAGGCTATGACTCTAATCTCTGTGGAGGATGTCGCTCTCGTTCAGGATATCGCCTTTCTGGTACATCCGGAACAGGTCTGGAAGAAGCAGCTGGGCTATCCGTTGCTGGAGCAGTCTCTGCATTCGGTTCATCTGGTGGTTCTTCCAGGGGTTCGTCCGGTGGTTCACCTGGTGTGAAGTCCTCAGAACTGTCTGCACAGTCTGCATCACGGCATTGATCATTACTGGTGGAGTGACGGGTTCTAGCGTCCAGTAACTGATCCACATGTCCGCGCCAGATCAGTCCGGGTGGCACTCTTACCGTGTAAGTAAGTGGGCCTGTTTTGGAATCTATCTCACCAGTTTGCCACTTCTGATTCCCATGACGATAATCTCTGGCAAGCACAGGCTGGCCCTCATGGAAGGTTCTCAAGGGAAATTGCTTTTTCATCAGACTGCTTTGTTTCTTTGACACGTCCCGGTGCAGGTCCGGCTTTAGGAGGTCCAGACATGATCTTAAGGATCTTCCCATGAACAGCATGGACGGTGTCTGACCTTTGGTGTAATGTTCTGTGTTGAGGTATGAAAACAGGAAGTTGGCCAGTTTCTCTGATATGGACAATATGTTGTTCGCCATGGCTTTCATGGATTGTTTGAAGGTCTGGACGAATCTCTCTGCAAGTCCATTTGTTGCAGGGTGAAATGGCACGGTGGTAATGTGCTTAATTCCATTTCCCTTCATGAACATCTGAAATTCCTCTGAAGTAAACTGGCTACCGTTGTCACTAACTAGCTGCTGTGGCAGTCCAGCACGAGCAAACAGAGTACGAAGAGCTTCAATCGTCACTGCTGATGTGGCATTCTTCACAGGGAACACTTCAGGCCATTTAGAGTATGCATCGACGACCACTAGAAACATTCTGTCCAGAAAGGGGCCTGCGTAGTCGATGTGAACTCTCTGCCACACAGTTGAAGGCCACTCCCAGGTGTGTGGCATAGCTACCTGCGGTTGACGCTGAGTTTGCAGGCATCCCGAGCATGACTTTGTGATGTCTTCAATCTCGTGGTCAATGCCAGGCCACCAGAAATGGCCTCTGGCCAGGCTCTTCATTTTAACCACACCTTGATGTCCATCGTCAAGAGACTCTAGTACTCTGTTTCGAAGCTTTGGTGGTATGATAACTCTGGTGCCCCACATCACACAGCCTTGGCATACGGACAACTGTTCACGTCGGTTTGCGTACTCAGGTGGGACGGCATTACCCTTCCGAGGCCACCCCTCAACCGTCAAGTCGTAGACTCTCACTATTGTAGGGTCACGACCCGTTTCCATCTTCACGTCCAGAAAAGTGAAGTAAATTGTCCATCTGCGTCATGTGAAAAAGGTCAGCTGGATCTGAAAACACAGACGTGCCACCTGACTCGAGGGGAAGGCGAGAAAGGCCATCTGCATTTCCATGAAGCTTGGTGCCTTTGAACTCAATCGTGTAATCATGAGCTCCTAGAAACAATGACCATCTCTGCAGACGTGCCGCCATCATAATAGGAACGGACTTGCTGGGATTGAAAATAGCCACTAGAGGCTGATGGTCAGTGATCAGTGTGAAGTGTTTACCATACAGGTATTGGTTAAACTTCTTAACCCCCCAGACTAAGCTCAAACCCTCACGGTCAATTTGGGCATAGTTCTGCTCAGCTTTGTTCAAAGACCTGGAGGCAAAGGCGATAAACCGTTCAGAGCCATCCTTCATCTTGTGAGAAAGCACAGCGCCAATCCTGTATGGTGATGCGTCACAGGCTAAACGCAGTGGCAAATTGGGGTTGTAGTGCGTCAGCACTTTCTCTGACGTTATCAGTTGCTTTGCTGCCATGAATGCCTGTTAGCAGGACTTCGTCCATCTCCATACAGTTTTCATTTGTAACAGACTGTTCAATGGATGTAACACTGTTGCAATGTTCGGCAAGAATTTGGCGTAGTAATTGACAAGGCCCAAAAAGGAGCGTAGCTGACTGACATACTTGGGCCTTGGTCCCTTCAAGACTGCAACCACCTTATCTTGTGCCTTGTGAAGACCATCTTTGTCGATCTTGTGACCGCAGTACTCAATTGAGTCCTTGAAAAACTCACATTTTTCTTTGTTCACTCTGAGTCCAAAGTCTGAGAGCCTCTTTAAGACTGTCTCAAGGTTGGTCAGATGTGTGTTTTCATCACTGCCTGTCACAAGAATATCGTCTAAATAGCACTGAGTGCCAGGGATGTCTTGAAGAACTTAGTCTATGGCTCTGTGCCATACAGCAGGGACTGACGCTATCCCAAAAACCAGCCGGTTATATTGAAACAACCCCTTATGGGTGTTAATGGTTAGATATTTCTTTGATGAGTCTTCCAACTCCATTTGGAGGTAGGCCTGTGCTAAGTCAATCCTAGAGAAATGCTGGCCACCAGCCAACAAGGCAAAGATATCCCCTATCTGGGGTAGTGGGTATTGGTCTGCCTGGAGCACTGGATTTATGCTGACTATAAAGTTGCCACAGATGCGTAAAGCACCACTCTTCTTTACGACCGGCACAATGGGTGTGGCCCACTCTGACCACTCCACCTTTGACAAGATACCTTGGTCCTCAAGGCGCTTGAGCTCTGCTTCCACCTTTGGGCATAATGCATAAGGCAGGTTACGGGTTTTGTGGAATTGTGGTGGAGCATTCTCAGTTAAAACTACTTTGGTTTTGACCTGTGCCAGCGTTCCAATTCCATCTTGAAAATCTGGGGCGTAGCGATCCAGTAGGTTCCTCAGTCGTTCTGGGGTAGACTGAGTGCTTTCGCTGGACATCTCCATCACTTTGATTGATTTCCAGTTAAGCTGGATGCTACGCAGCCACTCTCGTCCAAATAATGGCACATTGTCACTTTGCACCACATACAGATCCAGTACTCGCTTTGTTTTCTCATATTTGACTTTCACCTTTAATTTCCCCATTGGGGAGACTTTTTCTCCTGTATAAGTAACAGGTTTAGAAACAAAGGTGACGGGTTCAGGTGTCTGATCAGGCTGGCGGGGAACTCTAACTGTTTGAGGTGTAACTTGTGGGCCTATTTTGAGTCCTTTAACAGATGGAGCTAAGTGAAGATCAAGTATATGTTTGCTGAGACTGACCTGGCACAGAAGGGAACTGGAATCCTGAGTCTGAAGCTGGACGGCTCTGGATCTGGTTTGCAATTCTATATCTAACCCAATAGCTAACTCAATGAGATCCTCAAGGTTAGCTGGCTCGTCTAAAAATGCTAGCTTGTTCCTGACTGGTTCATTTAGGGCAAGGAGATAAGCGGTCTTAAGCGCAGACTCGTTCCACCCGGAAGCGGCTGCTTTAACCTGGAAATCAAAAGAAAACTCGGCAACTGATCTATCTCCCTGTTTAGTTTCAAAAAGTCCACTAGAAACTATGGATTGATTAGTGACCTGATTAAATGTCCTTTCAAACTCCTGGATGAATCTCTCATAAGTACAGTTAAAACTAGTTTCTAACGGAAATCTCCGTCCATTCAAGGGCTTTTCCGGACAGGAAAGACACGACAAAAGCTATCCTACTCTTATCATAAAGAAAACTCGACTCATAAAACTCAAAAAATAGCTGACACTGGAACAGAAATCTCTTGAACTTACTTGGGTTGCCGGAAAATCTCTCAGGCAGTGAAGGGCTGAATACTGAAAACGACGGGCTGGGTTCGGACCAGAAAGGAAGATTACTATCTTGAACAGGAAGTGACGTCACTGCCGGTGACCTAGGAGGCGGAATCTGGACGTACTGCTGGCGTGGCGTTAGCATTACCCATGTAGCTGGCATAAGTTTGAAGCTTTTGATTCTGGTATTCAAATCTAGTATGCAACTCACAGAGGGTATGCGCATGTCCAAGGATCTGAGCGTCCCGTTCCTCAATCCACCGACGGAGGTGATCTGCTTGGCTTTGTGTTTGGCCGCAGTGTTCTGTCATGATGGGTCAAAGAGGCAAGCCCATATGCAGAACACAACGGAGGCTGGGTAAAAGTTTAACAGAGTTTATTGAGGTTTGACAAAAACACAAGATTATGAACTGGATCTGGAACTGGTTCGGGCTGGTTCACTGAAGTCTTGACTGGGACCAGAGACTGTTGGTTAGCAGAGTTCGTGAGGAGCTAAAGCGTCTAGCTTCAGATTTAACATGGCCGACCTTGATCTGAGCTTCCAGCTCTTCACAGAGAACAGCAGGGGATATCCACATAGGAATCTTCAGGTTGACTCCACATAGGAATATTCAGGTAAACTCCACATAGGAATCTTCAGGTAAAATCCACATAGGAATCTTCAGGTTGGCTCACCAGGGCTGATTTGCAGGTTAAGCTCACCCAGAGCTTCAGGCTAGAGACAGGTTTCCTGTGAGGCAGCTCACCCAGAGCTTCAGGCTAGAGACAGGTTTCCTGTGAGGCAGCTCACCCAGAGCTTCAGGCTAGAGACAGGTTCCCTGTGAGGCNGAATTGTAATTGTTATTTGTTTGCTCTCTCTTTTTTAAGCCCGTGTCACAAACAAAGTGCAGTTGATAACTTTTTATCCTGACAAAATAGCTTTCTTTACAGGGTTGTCAGTTTTTGGATGATACTTTATTTAAGCAGTGGTTCAGGAAAAGTCTGCATCTTTCAAGATGACCAGGATTTTAATGCAGGGCAATGCTTCATCGCATGCATCCAAGTTCTCCACTGTGTTGCTGGCCTTTAAAGGCTTTAAAGATGAAAGAATAATGATGTGGCCCCCATTCCTCACCTGACCTACACCACCGTTGAGAAACTGGGTTGCCATCCTGGTCACTGATTGTTATGTTCTTTTGTTTTATGCAAGAAATTATGTTTGAGTAGTTTGTTTATAAACAAATGAGATGGGAAATTTAACTTTGATTTAGTTAAATAATAATTCTGCTCACTAACAGTCGTCCAATAATTTTGCAAACATAAATATTCTCCTAAGAAAGCCAAAATCTTACGCAATTAAATATTCAGGTTTGAGGTTTATCAACAGTTTGATTTGATCTGGGGCACTGTAGCTTTAAAAAAAAAAAAGAAAAAGTAAAAGTTCACCTTGCCTCACAATTGTGCACTAAGTGTATGTTTAAAACCCGAATTCAAATTAGCAAAAGACATCCAATGTTTGACCATTTTTATAAGCATGCCCAGATATGTTGCTTAATGTATAAACTCTGTAAGTATTCAGTAGAATTGACTAAAAGTATAGTTTTTTTTTTTTAGGATAAAATGAAAACTTAAAAAATAAAAAATTTCCAAGGATATTGTAAGAAAAAAAAATGATGTATTGTCGTCAATTTAAAACCATACAGGTCTTTGACTTTCCTTACAAAAAACAGAAATGTATTATTTCCAGTTTAACCATTCCACGTCGTCTTATCGGACTTATAGATTTTTCTACACATATCAAAATGTTGATGTTATTTCCATTTTGTTTGTGTTTTTTAATTTAAACTGAGATTCTTAAAGTTGTCGTACAGAACGGTGCAAATGAGCTTAAAGGCCTTTTCCACACAAAGACAAACATATTTTCATGAATTGCTTAGAAATTGTTCTGCCCACATAAGTGGTTTCGAAAATGATTCGTCAGATTTTACTGTGACCAATTATATGTTCTCTCTTTCAGCCCTTTGACATGAGGACGACTCAGACCTCATGTGCGGAACTGTATCTTTCATAAACAGAGACACCAATGGAGCCAGTTTCACATGACCTTTTCTAACATACTGTACAAAGTATTTTTGGATCAGTGATACTATGTTCCCTTTGCTGCTGAAACCGAGCCTGGTTCTGCTGGAAGCTTCTTCCTGTTATATTTCTTTCCACTACTTCTGCATGCATGTGAGGGATTGCTGCAGAATCAATCACACAATGCAAGTGAATGTCTACCATCCCCACATGTTCACCCAGGAGAAGCAAATCCTGCAAAGTCAAAGACTCGATGCTATCAGCTGGTTTTCCTTAGATTTAAAAAACTACCTTTGTAACAATCTGACTATATGATCTGATTGAGTTGTCTCTGTAAAGTGCCTTCAGGTGAAATGTGCTGTGAAATGGCGCTATATAAATGAAATGAATGAACAGAACTGAATAGCCTTTTAAAAAAAGCTGTTTTCTCTCAACAAGTTAAAAAAGAGAAAAAAGAAAAAGAAAATACTGCCTATTGATCAGTTCAATGTGGGTCCAAAGAACTAAAATGCCTTATAATCATTTTTACATTGAACACATTTCTGTCAGGATCCCTGTTTTTGTGTTCGTCTGTTTGTCTTGTCTTTTGTGTTTC